CTACCTTGGACATGTGTGCATTCCACGAGCAGTCTTTTGCGATATCTACTCCGAGGTGTGTGTACTGGTCCACTACTGCAATCTCCTCGATCTCCCACTTCCATCTATTTTCTACTGGTTCCTCCTTGTTCTCGTTGCATACCATGACGGCACTCTTCTCAAGGTTGCCAGACTATCTCCACTTATCAGTAGGGCGGCTTGTTTTACAACGTCGTTGCCAAACGACGAAAACCCAACCCCGATGGTTAACACCGGGGGCGGGGGGGAAGCCGACGGCGGGGAACAACTCTTCTCTTCTTCCACTCTGTTGCCACCCAACCGATTTGGTGGGATGGTACCACCACCGCGCGGCTAGGTGTCACCTACGGCGGTTGGATATGGATTTTCGGCAGCCACTGGAAGCACTAGCAACGCGCTGGATGCTCGCGTCGCTAACCAGTAACTACCCCAGGGAAATGGGCTTACTACCGCAGGCGTCGTCTTGGACGCCGGTTTTCTCACGGCCGCCAATTTCCGTGATATTCTACACTACTTTCGGTTCGGGTTTCGGATTCGGTTCGGGTTTCGGATCGGTTTCGAGCTGCAGGCGTCTTCTCAAAAGGGCATCGGTGTTTCACTACTTCCCGACAAGTAGGTCGGCGTTTTACCACTATCCGACAAAGAAGGTGGGGAACTACAGTGGACCGCTCCCCGCCCCTCTCAGCACTAAAAACGTCGGAAATCACCAGACGTGTCGGACGGCGGTAGCGACGGTTTCCGCCCGTCCCCACCACCGAAAGGTTCCGAAGATTCCATCACCAAGGGGCGGCAACTCTCGGTCTCGACTTCCTACTTTCCAGAGTAAGAAGGGTGTCTAACCTACCATCTTGGATCGGATCGCGGAACGGCCCGAACGCCGGCGGATACACGTCCTTGTATGGAGAGGGCGGTATCAATCTCCTCGCGGGCACGGCGCACGGCAGCAGGACGGACTGCGACGACAGCACCGTGCTGTGCACCAGTGGGGTGACCGCGTGGAGACGACGCACGTGGCGAAGAGTCGTACTGCAACCAGCAAGATGGGTAATACCCCCGTGACGACCCGGAAGGGCCAATCCCAGGAGATTCGGTAGGCAAGGGAGAAGAGAGACGGGCAATGGGCGTGCCCAAGGAAAAGGGCCTACCAGAACGAGAGACTGACACGCGACAACTCGCGCAGCCGGAAACAACCGCTTTGCGAGTACACATGNTCGCGGGCACGGCGCACGGCAGCAGGACGGACTGCGACGACAGCACCGTGCTGTGCACCAGTGGGGTGACCGCGTGGAGACGACGCACGTGGCGAAGAGTCGTACTGCAACCAGCAAGATGGGTAATACCCCCGTGACGACCCGGAAGGGCCAATCCCAGGAGATTCGGTAGGCAAGGGAGAAGAGAGACGGGCAATGGGCGTGCCCAAGGAAAAGGGCCTACCAGAACGAGAGACTGACACGCGACAACTCGCGCAGCCGGAAACAACCGCTTTGCGAGTACACATGGCCATGACGCAGACGCGAAAGACTACAGCGGTACTTCAAACCAAAAGCCAACAACGACCAACAACGCAATGGATCTCGCACCCAGGGAAGAAACAAGCGCCGAGGACGCCAATGTGATACTTGGTATTCGGGCTCTGTTGGATGACCCAATTACCCCAATCAAATGCAGAACAGTGCGGCTCTGCGTTACCAAGGTTCTGCGCTAGGTTCGAGGTTCTTGTCTCTTATTTATGTTGTAGATAGTGTGCACGGCCGCCCTCAGCGGTCTGAGGTGTTGAGACTGGGTACTATGCTATCCAAGGAACGTGCGTAGCCATCATGTACATACATTACACAGGACAAGGATGTTCACCCCACAGGCAAGTGCCGGGAGCACACCGCCGTGTGCTCACCCGGGGGGACCGCACTTGGACCCCAACCGCATACATACCCATCACACCCATACTTCCCACACGCTTATCCCCCACAGAGGATGCACAGATCGGACTCATATCCAAGCACCACAAACAGCCCCCCTACTTGATACGATGTACGATCTTGCAACCCTTCGCGCGCAATCAGCCAACACAGACAAACACCCCTTGAGAAACATACTCAACACAACTGGCTACACATTCAACACAAAGCGTCGCCATCAGTTTATTCACGAATCCAACGCGTTCGTCTCTGAAAATATGCTCAAACCGTTGACACAAAAGAATCATCCTCAGAAAGGTACCCAACAATTTTTTGTGCTACATCAGAAAGGCGTCGGAATGAAATCGTATATTTCTGGAAAAACAACTTTGCAAGAGTTGGCACCAAATCCTCAACCAAAACAAAAACTCAACTTCTTGACCAATCAAAACGAGAATTCGGAAAGCACAACGGCCCCAACCATTAATCGTCAGAACATGTCAAATCTTTCCTCCAATACAGTGTCCAAGGACCAATCCTAAACAGCGCGCACCCGCTAATCGGTACCGTTGCTGTTGTCCAAAAAACGATAGAAAACGAAAGCAAGCATCCACGCAAACAGTCCCCCTGCTGTCAGCTCCCAAAATTCACCCCGAGCAACTATTTCGATGCCAACAGCCCCCTTGCTTTGCCGTTCACCTAACACACAAGGAGGCGCGACCAGAAAACAAACCAATTCGATTGCTGCTCATGCTCTCTAGAATCATCGTCATACATGACATCCCCCCCCATGATTTTCGATGCAAGAGCAGCAAAACATGCGATACAAACCAGAAACATGAAAACACGTAACACACAAGGCATCAAACTCCAGAAAAAGTTCGTACCGTATGCAAACTGTCTCCTCAACTGGAACTCCGAAAGCCCCCCTGCTCCCTGATCGGTATGCCTTCATGCATGTCAAGCAACGCGCTATCATCCCATTTCGTGCGCGCGGCCAGAAACACACCGCAGAGAGCGACCACTTAACTCAGGACCTAACAAAAAAAACGCGACTGAACGTACTCCCTCCAAAGAATACGGAAATGGTATCAAGCATTCAGCTGCAAGGTTCAACGCGACTGAAAATACACCAAGAACCAAGGAAAAAATAATACCCACGTGCTGCTTCCTATTCCACAGGTTGTGGCAATGCTTATCTTGTCGCAGCGTACAATTATTGTCATGAAACCAAGTACAAAAAAAAATAAACGCACACCCCGTGGCATACACGTGTTTTTTGCATCAAAGTGCACGGTGCGCTAGCAAGGGAAAAACAGAACAAAGGATAAATGCGAAGCCAAATGGCGAAGCTAAAACGTACATGCCTGCTCACAAAACCGAACAAAGTCGTAATCGTTTCACATGTTCTCCCGCTTGGCTGTAACAAGGTGAGGTCGTCGCTGTCACCGTGTCCTCCCCGCACCCGGTCGACTCGAGGGCGCCACCGCTGCTACCGCCGCCGCCACGACCGTCGTGAGTTCCAGCGCCAACACGGCTGCCGGTGACGTCGCTGCTGCCGCCACGACCACCGCCGCCGTTATCGCCGCTGCCGCCGACGGGGCTCTGGCCAAAGCCGCCGCTGCCGTCGCTGCTCCTGCTGCCGCCGGTGTCGCCGCCGGAGCTCTGGCCGAAGCCGCCACTC